TGGCAGCGCTGTAGGAGGGGGACAACTGAAAACGGAGGCCTCCACCTCTGTTTAATGATGGACGGTCTTTCTTCACAAAAATGGCTTCTTTTACTCCTCTCTCAAACCAACGTTCCTCTCTATCAAGAATGAGAACATCCTCATTTCTGAAAGAGTGACCGCTGGCCTGTAAATGAGTGAAAACTGCAGAGTTCTGGCCATCTTTCAGAGATGAGGATGTTCTCATTCTTGATAGAGAGGAACGTTGGTTTGAGAGAGGAGTAAAAGAAGCCATTTTTGTGAAGAAAGACCGTCCATCATTAAACAGAGGTGGAGGCCTCCGTTTTCAGTTGTCCCCCTCCTACAGCGCTGCCATTGCCATAGCTTTCTTATTCTAATTTCTCTGATTATATTTAAGACAATTATCTGTGAATATCAGTTAAAACCGGGACACACCATTGAAATACTCTTGGTAAAATATTAAAACGTGACAGAAAAGAATCCTGAGTGGGATTAAACGCAGTGTGTGATGCTAAAAGCCGTCACTGACACACAAATCCTCAGCCCTGTTATTCTTACAATCATTTGCTCTGCTTGACGGAGATATTATAGTAATATCCCTCATGCTTTAATGTAATTATGGACAGATCTGTAATCTTGATATCAATAATCCACRTGTGTCTCTTGGCAGCTGAGCGTGCTGACGATGCAGCCCGAGGTGAAAGGCGTGCACACCTCAATTATCTCTGGGCAGCATCACCGTTTGCTCTGTGCAGTCTTTTACCTCCCGTCACCCTTCTTATCCTGGCTGTGGAAAAAAACAGACTTCCTCCAAAACCACCTTAAATTTCTCCCACCCGGTCCACGAGCCACCTTAAATGTTGGCCTAACTCATGTGCTAGTCGCCTCTTTGCCCTCCCCCTTAATGTGAAAGGGAGACAGTTTCCATGGAAACCACCAGTGAAAGTCTTTTTTTTTTTGCCTGAGCTGAGGGCTGTGTCTTGTCTCAGTTTCCTGCCACTGACACACACGCACACGCACACGCACACGCACAGTGTTTTAAGCATTCATGAGAGAATATTTACAGAGTGTGTATTAAAGACTGAACAGTGTTAGCACATCAGAACATGTGACAGACGTTGACGTATCACATTCCAGAATAAATCCAGATTTTAATCTTATTTTAGGCTCTATGAAGCTTGTTTGTGTTTTTCAGTAACTAAGAGGGAGGATGGATGGATGGATGGATGGATGGATGGATGAATGAATGGGTGAATGGATAAATAGATGAGAGAATGAATGGATGGATGGATAAGTGAAAGGATGGATGTCTGGATGGATGGATGGATAAGTGAAAGGATGGATTTATGGATGGATGGATAGCTGGAAAGATGAATGAATGAATGGATGAATGGATAGGTGGATGGATAGTTGGAAAGATGGATGAACAGGTGGATGGATAATGAATAGAAGGATGGATGAGTGAATAAACAGAGACAAATGRATGAATGGATGATGGATGGACGGATGGATGGATAATGGATGGATGGATAATGGATGGATGGATGAATGGATGGATTATGGATGGATGGATGGATGATGGATGGATGGATGGATGGATGAATGGATGAATGGATGGATAATGGATAGATGGATGGTTGGATAATGAATGGATGGATGAATGCATGATGGATGTATGATGATGTATGGATGGATGGATGATAGTTGAATGGATGGATAATGGATATATGGATGCATGATGGATGGATGAACGGACGGATGATGGACGGATGATGGATGGATGATAGTTGAATGGATAGATAATGGATGGATGGATGAATGGATGGATGGATGATGGATGGATGATGGATGGATGGATGAATGGATGGATGGATGATGGATGGACTGATGGATGGATAAATGGATAGATGGATGGTTGGATAATGGATGGATGGATGGATGGATGCATGATGGATGGATTGATGGATGGATAAATGGATAGATGGATGGTTGGATAATGAATGGATGGATGGATGGATGGATGGATGGATGCATGATGGATGGATGAACGGACGGACGGATGGATGGATGGATAGATTGATGATTGTGTGGAAATCAAAAATAGATCTACCTCAGTCTTGCAGATAWTGAGCTACAGTTTGGTGTGGTAGTAGCTGAGAGTCGTCTACAACACAGACTGAGTGCTGACAGACAATCAGGACAAAATGAACTGTTAGGATGAGGTCTAAAGAGAGGAGGTGACACGATGCACTGCTCAGATGTCTCCAATGTGTTTTTTAAATTAAAGAAGTCAACCTATAAATCCTGAATGCAGAATGAAAAAGACTTTTAAAATACACTTGATCAACTTTCCCTCCTCCTGTGTGAGAAAAGAGACACAGGATTATGCTAAGCAATGAAACATTTCAACAACAACAACAACAACAACAACAAAAAAGCTTCAAGCAAACCAGATCTGTGGTGACAAGCTTTTAAACTCTGAGTCAGCCTCGGCTTACATATCACAGCGTTTTTTTCAAGGTTTTTACTAAGAGCACTTTGGTAATAATACTTAAACATAAACAAACATCTTCTCAAATTCACTCAAAGTGCAGCACGGGAGCAAAAGGAGCCTGAGAGACTCAACAAGGGCAAAGGGAATAGAGAATGAGGGTATAAAACACGGAAGAAAAGTGAAGCAAAAAGACTAGACATGCATGAGATGGAGGAAACAAAAAGGGAATAACAAGAAGGAAACCAGCAACTGATGAAAGTCATCTGGATATTTGCTGCCTGCCAGAGGCTGTAGGACGGAGAGATCCTTCAGGCAGAGGGGCATTTAAACATCAGCCACCACTTCCTGACTTCCCCGCTCACTTTATTATTTCATCTGTGCTTCTTGCATAATCCCACATCCTGCCTTCCATCTATATTTCATCATTTAGAAAAACTACAAGCCCGTTAATGTGTGCAAAAAATGGCAAAATGCCTTTAAACTGACACACAATGAACAGAAACATCTGACAGAGCAGCCATTTTTCTCTGTGCGAAGATTGATTWTCAGATGATTGCTTCCTGAGGGTTTTATTGAAATCCATCCAGCGAGAGATATGTTGCTAACAGACAATATGTCCAGTGAAATATTTTACTAACAGACAAACAAACATACACAGGCACCATGAACAAAGGGTGGTAACTGTTTCCTGTCATTTCAAACTCTTTTCTGGAAGATGTGAATTCAAAGCTTCGATGGGAGGATGTCATGTGTCCTCCAGGACCCTACAAACGTCCTAACAGCTTTTGATTCAAAATCCTCTGCCTGCAGCTCCTACTCAAAGATTTAAGGTCTTTTAACAGCTGCATCCCCAAAGACAGACACAAAGAACACTGAGACAGAAGACAGGTAACTTGGTTTTAAAAGAAATAACAAAAAGCACACTTATAAATAATTATTCTGTCTTCATCGTCAGCTTCTATCTTCTACCGCTCATCTGTGGTTGGGTTGCAGAGTCAGCAGGTCCAGGAGAAACCCGGACCTCCCTCTCCACAGCAACACTCTCCAGCTCCTTGGGGATCCCATGGTGTTCCCAGTAAAACCTCCACAGGGAGGCATCCAAATCAGATGCCAGGATCCCCTCAACTGACTTATGCGATGCACAAGATCCCCTYGGATGTGGAAGCTCTTCACTCCATCTTCAAGGCTGAGTCTGGCCATCCTATGAAGGAAGCTCATTTTGGCTGCTTGTATCCAGAACCTTGATCTTTCAGTCATGATCCACASCTCAAAACCAGAGATGAGAGTTGGAACGTAGACAAACCAGTAAATMGAGAGCTTTTCCTTTTGACTCAACTCTTTATTCAACACTACAACAGAAGCAATGCCCTCRTTACTGAGGACCAGATTCAGACACATCAATTCATCTYTTATTTTATTTTTATTTACTTAACCAGGCAAGTCCCGTTGAGACCTCAGATCTCTTTTTCAAGGGCAGCCTGGGCCCGAAGGCAACCTATTGTACRTGTTTTTGSGGGTGGGRGAAACCGGAGTACCCGGAGAAAACCCACGAAACTCCGCACAGTAAAGACCCCAGGTCCAAACTGGGGATTGAMYCCAGGACCTTCTTGCTGTGAGGCGTCGRTGCTAACCACTSAGCCATCGTGCCGCCAACTCTGGCTCCATCCTAACAACACTGGTGAACAAGACTCCCAGATACTTGAACTCTTCCASCTAAGGTGAGCATCACCACCCCTCCGTTCCAGAAAGGCATTTCCAGATGAGAAACATGGTTCTGGACTCAGTRTACGCTGAAGGTCATGACCCAAAGACGCCAACAGAACCACATCATCTGCATACAGGAGAGATGAGACCTTGAGGTTTGCATTAAAATAAAAATTATTTCTTCACTGCAGACAACTCTGACATCTAGCAGGAAAAGTCTGAAACATGTTGGCTGCTTTTAATGACTGACGAGAGGTTGACGTGTGTGTGTGTGTGTGTGTGTGTGTGTGTGTGTGTGTGTG